GGCTTTCATTTCTCCTATGCGACCTATACTGTTCTCCCAAATGCTTTTCCCTAAGCCATTATTCAAATTCCTACATCTTGCATAATTGGTGCTGTGCTTGGCTGTTTACTTCTTCTTTCTCTTCATTGGCTTTCTGTTCACGGGTGCTACCACACTAACACAATACAGCATTCATATGGTATCACTGACACAGACAGTCTTATTTTCTCTATTATTCCTCTACTTTGTATTAACCTTCTTTATCTATCATCTAGCCTACTCTCCTCAATTTGGTCTTCTCTGATCATTTCCAAATTCTGCATGTTTCCTCTTCTGTCTTCAACACTTTGGGAAAGCTTTCCTCTGTTGTTTTAAATCCCATCTCAAAAACCTTCCTGTTCATTAATGCTCTTTCGAATACTCGTGTCTCGTCTTTTTCTTGCAAATATAGTAATTTGTTTTCCTGCAGGGTGGATTTGTTTGTTTTAGTTACTCTCACCCAGCACTTTGAATAAAATAACCATATAATTTAAAATGAGATGTCCTGACAATGTGAAACAAACTCCACTTAAAGAAATGCTCTCTTAAGATCGCATGTAGACTCATAACATCTGTTTACACGGGTATTTCCCACTTGTTTCAGGTTTAGAAACTTAAATACAGATGTGAGATGCCCAACTGCTGTTTCTCAGACTTGAGCTTAGGTTATATCAGCTCCTGCTTTTACATGGATAAAGAAAAAAACCCCAAATCTTCTGATACTCATAAAATGGAAACCCCAGAAGAACCCCCAAGGGTCATTTTTTATCACCATCCCAATCTTCAGGGTTTCCTGGTCAGTTTATATGTGATGCTTTATCTCTGGCCAGAAAGCACCCATGCCATCTCATACCTTCCCCTGTACATCACCACAAGGAAGGCTTATATGAATGGTTTTGTCAGGAGATAGAAATCTCCAGAGATCTTTGATCTGGGAGGCACAGCAATGTTCCACGACTAATCTTTCCATAGGTCATGGGCCAGCTCACCCTTAGTCTTATTTGCATCCACACACTCGCCAGCAATATCCTGTTTTCTAATTTAGGAAGTACTGATGACTATACACAGGTTTTGGCTCATTCTAATTCCTTCCCTCTCCACTCTCCCATTACATTGGCAATTCATCTCCATGCATGTGTGAAGGCTGGATGAAAATTTTTATCTCTCAGAAGAGACAAAATGTCATTGTTTGCACTGATGTCTGCTCCATGAATAAGTGTGAGAGAATGTGCTAGGGCTGGATTACCGTGCCAGTCCTGGTGGCTCTTTCTTTAGATGTTTTTACCTCACATTGCCAGCATGGTCTTTTCAAACCTACCCACATCTCCCCCCCCCCCCCTTTTCAACCCCCCCAGCCACTATTTCTTCCCTGAGTGGCTTCTTTGCTGCCCTCTGACAGTCAGTCCCACCACTGCTCTTAGGTCCTTTACACACCCTTTGCTTTAGATGGCTCAGCTTACTTTGAATTCAGTCAAATATTTTCATTTCCCTTTCCATCCAGACAATGTTTTTCCCTTTCCCTTCCAGATTAAATTCTCTCCCACACAGATGACTGTTTTTCCCTCTCCAAAGGTCATCCAGAAGGTCATTTCATAACCAGTTCAACCACTCATGGGCCTCACAGTGCTGTCCTAGTTCTCTTATGGATGAGGTGCAGGAGAGTATCCAGAGAAGCCTGTACAGCACCAAGTGCAATGTGGGGTCTGACTGTCTCTGGGCTCCCTGGCAAAGTAAAGGCCTAAGAGATTAGCTCCAATCTAGCAAGCCGCTATCAGTCTGTATTGCCCCCAGCCCAGCCTGGCTCATCACACAGCAGCAAAGAACACCAGCCAGTGTCTGTCTGGTTAGCCTTACATACAAACGAAAGGAATGCAACCTCCTTCCGCTGCCTTCCACCCCCCAGCTCCTCAGCCCATGGTCTTCTTGTTTTCATGCACTGCAGTAAATCCCTTTGATCCAGCAAGCGCACTTTGCACGTGCAAGTTGGGTGACCAGCCCGCCTCTGAACCCCACACTGAGAGCTCTTTGTCTGTCAGGGTACTCACACCCTTTTACACTGAGCTCGCACTGGCAGACTGTTCTTGCATGACATACTAACAAGCTACCAGCCAAAGGAAAGTATCTCGCAATCATTTCAGAACCTCTGGCCATTGGCACTGCTGGGTGCATGTGCAATCCACAGCACACTCAGCTCACGGTGTGAAAAAAACCAAAGCACCGATGAAGAAAAGGGCTCCTTGTCCCTAGCCCTGAAGGCATGCATGGGAAAGGAGGCAGCCCGGCCATTTATAATTCAATCCCAAATTTCCATAGCTATTTCTCTCTGTCCCTCAGGCAGGAGGTCCCTGCAGGGAAAATCCGCTGCAGAGGTCAGCATGAACAGATTTAATGTCTTGCTTGTACCAGCTATGATTTAAGGCATCCAGTCAGAAATTTTTAAGGGAACAGAGCACTTAAGTAGGATGAAGGGGTCTGAATGACTTTGTGCTTTGGACTCAAATAAGCTAGTTAGATAAGACTATCACACCCCTACCCTCCATTCACTGGGACTGCTCCCAAGATGTATATCTTCAAAAGTATTTAGACAATCTGCTTTCCATGGAAACAAATGGAAGCCAGGTGCCCACCAGCTCCCAGGTTCTGCATCAAAGATGTATTTTAACAACATGGCTGCATCCAGTCCTTATTGCAAACAAAACCACGCTTTCCACACAGCTATGCACAGCTAGGATGTTATATGACTGCAAAGACAGGAGAGCTCCTCATCCAGGTTTGTATTCCCTCTTGTCTTTTGGCTTCCTGCTTTCCTAACAACCTACACTATCTGCTTCAGACTTGGTGGATGGAAACAGGAACACTCCCATAAAGTAGTAAATGGTTTAGGTGCTGGTTAAACCACTGATTAACTGTTTGACTGGCAAAGATCAGAGGGGTAGCTGAACCCACTAGGTGAAGTGCTGGGAGTGAGAGGCGTGGGCACTGCACCTGGTCAGCTGCAGCCTCATCATCTGATACAGGTCTTCCCCATCTGCCAGCAAAGGTGGACTTGCCTTTCTCACCGTGTTGAGTACTGCTGTGGATGGGCAGAGACATACACATTAACGGCACTGTGTACAGTCTAAGGTTACTCAACAGAAGTATGACAGGGCCAGTGAGAAATGTTTCTTGTCATGGATTAATTGTAAAACATAAGATTTCATACGCTGGTGTTACTGAGGGGAAAGGTTTTGCCCTCAGATACAAAACTCAGCCAGACTTAAGGCTGGGTTCAAAAGCATGCAATAGCAATATCTTGCAAGACTATGACTCCAAAGGGTAGAAGTGTTAAAAGAGTAGTGGTTTTTGCAAGTGCTCTCTCGGGACTCCTTGTCCACATCCCCATCTACTGGGTGACAAAACCACAAAAACTCCACAAGTTCACCCTTTCTAGGTGATTGCGTCACATCCCTGGCTAACTTCAGGAAGAGCCGTGTAAGACCCACCACTTCCAGCGCAAGGAGGAATGCAGAAGTCACATCTGAACAGACAAGACCACCGCGTTAATGGCTCTCACAATCTGCATTTGTGCCTTCACAGGAGCCCCATCGCCCGCTGGAAGGCCTTGGTTGGGATGTCCCCCCCAGACAGCCCCAGTGGGCGCCAGCCTCACAGCAGCACCGGTGCTGCAAGGCTACAAGGAGTCTCCCGACCACATTGCTGCAGATTTCAAAATGACTGCGCTACTTTCACTGGCTTTCAAGTCATTGGATCACAAGTGAGGTCACTCCTGGCAAGGAGGCTATCCCCAGTAAAAGCACTAAAAAGCCCACATAAAAAGATCACAACCAATGCCTTTTATGTCTTTATATGATTTATACTTCAGACCATGTAACTTTTACGGGGCTGCCTAGTATTTGATGGATGCAGGTCTCTTAACAACCCACGTATTTGTTTGATTTACTGCACTGGTCCAACATGTTATTTTCTACCTTGCAAGAACAACCTCGCTTCTAGGAATCTGCCTGCATGATAAGATCGTGAATTAAATGTGCAGCTATCGTAAGAGACCACACATTTTACAGTAAAATTGAGAAAACTGATTACAGCAATCCCTCTGGAAACAAGAATAACCATATGATAACACAGTGCTAATGGTAATTTATCATCTCTCATCACACGTGAAGCTTAGAACAAAGCAGCGATGCGAGCGAACTGCACAGCTATTACTGCCAATGAATAGGAACCGTACAGCTACTGGGGACGACCAAATGACAGGAGAGTGGGGATCCTGAACAACCAAACCTAAGCCAATTTGGTATGCTTCAAGAAGCTTACACAGTGGAGCTTATATGCAACGTTAACAAGTATTACCCAAAATAACAGCCTGGTATCTTTCCATACATTCTATTCTCTCTCTACCTACACTACTCCATTCAAATTCCACGTCATTCTTTCATTTCTTCTCACTGTATTTTATCCCCAGAGAAGTCCAAGATCATGAGTATCTCAAGGGTACGTGCATCTGTGTACCTACACGTCTGGGTCTACAAACATGCTCTCTCACACACACATTATTCCTAAACCATATATCTCAGATCTGAAATAAAACCTACAAATGCTATTTTCTATTTGAAGCAATGAACACTTGACTAAAATTAACATTTTTAAAGTTGTCTTGAGGAAGTGAGTGCCAAAAACCCAAACTGGCAGTTTTAACATGAATGATACATCTACATCCCTTAGGTATCCTAAAATTACTCTGCATCAAGCCCTATAAGATATATGAAAGCCCAACAGGTTAATGGCAGACAGTCAACTCCTCCGTTCTATGGAATAATGGGTACACTTGCTGGCCTACCGTATTTTTTCACTGCCCTGTTTCATAGATAGAAGCTCGGACTTTCAGAAAAGATTTTTTTTTTCTTTTCTCTATGAGAATAAAAGAAGATGGTTACGGTTAGGTGGCGGGAGGACAAGATGAGAGAAGCATCCTACACAAGTACCTGTATGAGTTCTCTGGTGAGCCTTTAAGTGGGAGCTCTTTGTATAAACCTTCCGGCACCCATTAAATTGACAGCGATGAACCCTCTTCTTGTTTTCTGGGGATGCTTCTGCCCCTGTACCTCCTTGTTCACTGTCACTTTGCCCACTTTTTGTTGTCCCTGCAGTTGCTGTTGCTACACCCACTTTCACAGAGCTGAGCGAAGTTTTCTTGGCCACCAATTTCAACGTCACCGTACCATCCACCGCTGAGAGAGTTTGTGAGGTTTTTACAAGATGGCGGCTGAGCTCTGGAGAGGAAGGGGGTGTTAATGAGGTTACTGCATTGAGTTGGGCCTGGTTGACGGCTGTATAGCCTTCTGTGGAAGAGCTGGTAGACTGCAAGCTGAGGCACGTCTCAGACAACAGCTTGTCCCGTGAGAGGATAAAGTCCACGTTGGCGCTTTTGTCACACGTACTCGTCTCCACTGGTAAAAGGATGGGGTCCAGCCGTCGGATATTGTCCTCTGCATCTGGGACTGAGGAAGCATGAAGGAAGCAGTCCAAATCCTCACCAAAGGTCTCGGAGATCATCCGCGGTTCAGTCTGAAGGTATCGCTCCAACTCCAGGCATGTCTGCAGGAGGGGAAGGAAGACAGGAGGGAGAGAAATCACTGTTAGAGAGAGATGGTCACATTCTGGGAGACATGAGGATTTGGAACTTGCTTGATGCTGCTCTGAGACAGAGTGTGGGAACATCCGCATATGGTAGCAGATATTACAGTAGAAATGAAGATACGACAAAGCATCTGCGACGTTTTCATGAAAGTTTGTACATTGTCCCATGGATACCAGGCCCTTCCCAGTTTTAAGTGTAATCCGGCCAACAGTCACCTCCATGTGAAACTATCCTAATGGCCCCACCGCCTGGCCACCTACAAACAAAAAGTCACCTCTACAAAGAACTGCTTCCTCTTCCTTCGCAAACATTAACTTTCACTCCAAATTTAATTCAGCATAGTTGGCTGTGGCCCAATCTGTTCCTAAAACAGCACAATTCTGAAGTGTAGCATTTTAAGATAGAAGACAGGGAAAAACTTCCAGTGACACCACAGCTTGTTTAAAGGGCCTGACAGCAGGAAAGAGATGTGACAGAAAAAAGGGACCTACTGTCAGTTTTAAGAAGTTTTGGCCCATCTGGTCAAACAGGACTTCCTGTGTACAGGACACTAGACTTGCACATCAACACACACATGCACCTTATTAAAAAGTAGGTGAAGATGCAGTCAAAGAGGCTGCCACATGAAAACATGCTCCTGCATTTCCATACCAGTGATCATCAGCACAAGGACAGGGTGAGCCTCCGACTTGAATGTACCTTATACGAGGTGCCCCGAGCTAGCCCCAATAAAGCCTCCAGACACCATCATGCTGCCCAATGTTCTCCATAACCAATATTATAAACTTTTATTGTTTATAGAAAACCATTTGCTGTCATTTCAGGAGCTTTTAATGCAGTTTATTAGTGCTATTTTTCATTTCTCACTGCCTGAAAGGCTAGCTGGCTTAATACCACTGCTGCGATTTTACAGGACTTGGAGAAACAGACATTCTAACAAATACTTTTTAGAAACCTCTGAAAACTACACCTCAGAGAACACTTCCAGAGATATTAAGGAAGGGATTGTAGGAAAAAATTTTCATCCTGTGGGAGCCAGCAACCCAACTATGTCTCAACCTGGAGAGTCCAGCATCTGATCAAGAAACAAAAGATTCGTATAACCAGAGGAGAGACAGAGACTCCTGCCTTTTGGGTACAAAGGTCCCATCAACAGCAGCACACAGGCCCCACTCACAGCTCTCTAGGAGCTACCAGGTAACTCAAGATTATTACTTTCAATGTACCCAAGAAGCAGCACTGCTGGTTGCAGATACAATTTGCTGGGATGACTTTCAGAGTCCAAAACTGAATTTTTCAGACAGCTACCTGTTGTTTCTTTGTAAAATAACAGCTGATTATAGACCTGAGCAGTAGAGATGGACTTGGACAAAAAGCAATAAAATGGCAACAGAGAGGTGCTACACTTTAGCATGTAGGTTATTTTCAGAGGCATGACACTGTATATATGATGTGTCTGCACACAGGCCTGGAAGTGGGACACTTATCAGTTAGTATTTGCCTTAAGCAACTTTTCTGTTTTATTTTTAAAGTGCATTTCTGAGACTGCGAGGAACTGCTTTAGCTGGAGATCTGGTCTCTCCCCAGATGCACCCCAACAGGTTTCGGGGGCTGCTTTCCAAACGTGCTCCACAGTCTCTTTCAGGAATAACCCTCCTCACCAAAAGAGGCAATGTTTTTGAATTCTCCGTATCATGCAATTTGCACTTTCTGGCCCACTTAGCCTTCACCCAGTGGGGCAGAAACAGGTTTAGGGGCTGAATAGATAAAAGGGCTCCAAGGCAAAGTGTAGTCACCAATTAGGGATGGAAAAGGGGGAAAAAAAAAAAGAAAGAGACAGGGATTCAAGGCCATTAAATCTGATGACAGTGACATGAAATTTCATTTACTGCGGGATCAGAAAGCTGCACGCTGGCTCCAGGCTGCCCATGGAGGGGAGGTAAGTGGGAGGTGCTGCTCCTTTAAGGCATCACCAGCCCACGACAACAATAGTGGTCCTGACAGTTTTTTCCAGCTTCACCATTAATTTTCCATAAAGAGCAGCTTCTCAATGAGCCCTTTTCAGGCAAAGCCTGATGCTTCAGAAACCTGTAATTATTCCCGGCTCCCCCCTCCCGCAGCCATTGCACCTGTGCCATTTCAAGACACCAGCTGGTCACGTCTTGCCTTCTGCTTCTGAAATCCAAAACCAATGGATCAAGCCCATCTCCCCACAGAGGAGTGAAAAAAACAACTCAAAGAAACAATACAGCGTAGTCCCTCTCACCCACCCCTCTCAGCCTCTCCACCAAGTCAATAGGGGGGAAAAGCCTAGCAACACTGACACAGAAAAGCCCTCCACCTAATCTGCATGGCAGACAAAGCCTGGTGAGGGGTTACGGCCACAGCCCTTCCTTTACCCCCTGCCAGGGCCCTACCTGCTACTGCATTTGCCAGAGCAGGCAATTGCCGGCAGAAACAAAGCATCTTTCCCCAGATGCACTTCCCACCTTCTGCCAAGACCCTTACACGACCTTCCCTCTTCCTGGCCCAAATCATCCCGGGAGTGGTGAGGCAGGATTTTGAAACCAGCCTCGTTTCTTCACTCCTGCCCTGGCAAGACAATTCTTAGGCCAGCTAAGCTCACCCTCTTGTCCTGACCTCTGACCTGAAGACACCTGTCAGGCTGACACCACCAAGAGGTGATTTGGCAGGCATGGTGGTGTTGGGTTGATGGTTGGACTTGATGACCTTAGAGGTCTTTTCCAACCTTAATGATTCTATGGTTCTAAGATCCCCACTTCAGCCTGGTGGACCATCATGAGCAGCAGGAGTGTTCTTTGGTCTCTGTTCCCACAAAGTTATTTGCCAGCGAAGATACCAAAAACTACCAATTTTTTTCTGGGAGCAGCAGGATATTGACCACTATCCACAGAGATACGAATACAAACTGCTGAATGCCAATGCTGCTGAAC